ATGGTCCAAGACGGCCTTCTCCTCCTCCTCCTCCTCCTCCTCCTCCTCCTCCTTCTGGTCCTCCTTCTCCTCCTCCTCCTCCTCCTCCTCCTACCCTCCTTCTGGTCCTCCTTCTCCTCCTCCTCCTTCTCCTCCTCCTCCTCCTCCTCCTTCTCCTCCAGAAGGAGGAGGAGGAGGAGGAGGATGAGGCCCAAGACGGCCCAAGAGAAACCAAGACGGCCGAAGACGGCCCAAGACCCGGGCGAGGGGCCACCCCCTGCACGCGAAGCCGGCGCCCCTGCTGCTGCAACCCCTGCTCGGGCGCCCCCTCCCCCGTCTCCCTTCCTCCTCCCCCGTCTCCCTCGTCCTCCTCCCCTTCCCTCCTCCTCCTCCTCCTCCTCCTCCTCCTCCTCCCTCAAGCATATGTGGCCCAAGGCGCGGAGATCCTTTTGGCTCAACCTTCGCCTTGGCGTTACACCCGGATGCCTCCTCGTGGCGCTTGAGGGGCACGTCTCATGATTGACAAGGGCTTCAATCGGGTGGACGTTGGCTAGATCCCGGTGAACTCGTCTCCCATCGGCTACGCATGCAGTTTTATTGGGGCCTTGGGCAGAGGCATAACAATATGGAGGGTATTATTACGCCGTTTCGCGACGTGGTGCCTTCTCCAGAAGGGTTGTTTTTGGCGAGGTCCTCGAGTTGGCAAGATATGCAGTTTTCTTTACTGAACGTTACAGGGCCATGGCTAAGGCAGAACAAGCTGGAGGGTACTTCCATTTGGACTGCTCTGGGTATGGTCAGTGTTCACGGGAATTTTCTGCAAGTTCCGACCCAGGGCGGGGGTTGGGTTGGAGGCACGCGGGCTTCGAGCCCATCTAAGCCCTCCACCCCTCGGCCTGGGCGTACATCTGCCGCTCATCTTCCTGAAGTTCCGTCCCATGTCGAGGGTTGGGTTGGAGGCACGGGGGCTGCGAGCCCACTTAAGCCCTTCACCTCATGGCCTGGGCGTACCATCTCTTTTTACAGTTTTGTATGCATCTGTATCCTGCTCTGGGTTGTATTGCAAACATGCTGATTTTTGCAAGTGTTGCAGTCTGGGGCTTCTGCTGTCGGTGGCACTTCCGTTGTCCGGCTGGGGCAAGGTGGTCTGTGGGTGAGGCGAGCTCCTTCCTTCATTACGAGAGTTAGCCCAGTGATCCACGGCTAGGGCCTTATAGAGTCAAACTCACTTCCGCTTAACCACTGGTTATGTCAATGTGGTGTCGATTCGGCGGCACAGCTTCAATTTTTATATGTATTTGGGCTGGCATGGCAGCTCTCTCGTGGTACTGCTGTTATCAGGTCGTGTATGGGTCTGCTTCTGCGTCTGGGCAATATTCATAAGTTTCTGCTGGTACCTGTCCTTCGTCCTCTGGTTCGGCGTCTTCGTTTTCGAGCTCAGAGGGCGGCTTGTATAATATCACTACGTGATGGCGGAAGTCCTGGAAGTCCCTCCTCCTCCTCCCCTTCCCTCCTCCTCCTCCTCCTCCCTCCTCCTCCTCCTCCTCCTCCTGCTCCTCCTCCTCTTCCTCCTCCGCCTCCTCCTCCTCACTCCTCCTCCTCCTCCTCCTCCTCCTCCACCCTCTCCTCCCTCCCCTCCTCCCCTCCTCCTCCCTCCTCCACCACCTCCTCTCCTCCTCCTCCTTCCTCCTTCTCCCTCCCTCCCTATACCCTCCCTCCCTCCCTCCCGCCCACCTCAACCTCCCTCCCTCCCTCCCTCCCTCCTCTCCTCTCCTACCTCACTCCTCCTTTTCGCCCAGCTCCCCCTCCTCCTTTTGCCCTTTGCGCCTGCCTACACCGTCTTAAACACTCCTCTCCTCCTCCTCCTCCTCCTCGCCCCTCCTCCTCCTCGCCCCTCCATCTCCTCCCGCTTCCCTCCTCCCCCTCGCTCTTCTCCTCCTCCTCCTCCTCCTCCTCCTCCTCCTCCTCCTCCTCCTCCTCTGGGGCAGCCTGCTGGTTGGAGCAAGGCAGAGAGCTCTATACTGTCCCGGGAGAACAACAAGTACCGAAACTGCTACAAAGAAAACTGATAATAAGGATGCTCGGTCAGGATGCAAGGGCCTTGAACGCCCATGCTGAAGCTTTTCGAATGGGGCTGGCCATCGAAAGTGGTTGAGGATGGACCTAAGATGACCGAAGAGGCAATGATGCAAGGGCACCCTTGGGCAGTTGGTCATTCTTGCTAGCAATGTTGACTGTACTCCCTGAGGCGCGTTCTGAACAAGATTTCGAGGCGGATCGAACCGCGGCCACGAGGGCCTCCCAGGAGGATGCACACGAGGCAATGGTAGCGGTATCCGTACCTTTCCTCCTCTGTTAGGTTCCTTCCCGCTTCCTGGGAATTGGCTTTTCGTTCCCGGTCAGGCAGTCTTTTGACAGGACGCAGCCGGGATCCCTGGAGGTCGAAAATGGCCAAAGACCGCCCGTCGTGGCGCCCCTGCTTGCCCCCCTGTCCCCCCAGACCCTTGAGCAGCGACCGACCGTCCCAGCATTGCTATAGGCCTACCACGACATGTTCGTATAACCCAGAAGCGTTGTAATAATAACAACAAGAACGATGTTCTTGGACGGGACGATGTGTTAAAACAAGACAGCCCCAACCCAACCAGAAATGTGATAAAACATCTCGTGCAAACCGCAAATGTTCTTAGCGCATTCTTTGGTATGCCTATAGGTAAGCCAAGACGCCTCGCCACTGCTTGAAGACCCCCAACATCGTGATTTTTGGCAACGTCGACCACCAGAGGTCTGGACCCCTTCCCTGGGACCGGCTTTTCATCCTGAATCGTTTTCGGTCGGTCCCAGGGCCTGGTAAGGGTCCCTGGAGGCCGAACGAGGCCGAAGATAGTGAAAAACCTCCCGCCGTGACACTTCCACAGGTCCTCACGGCGCCCCTGCCGCCTCCCCCCACTGCCCCTGCCCGGGGCCGCCGAGTCGGGAAGAGCCGGATCGGCGGAAATCGGCACGCTAGTTGGCAGGGCTCCGTGAAGAAATCGGAGCCCAAATCGGAATCCGAGGTCGAAGTCGAAGCGGAATCAGAAGCCGTCGCCATCGAAGCGAATCGAAGGCACTGAACTGCGCCCCGCCCCGCTCCCCCCCGCGGAGGGCCTGCTCCAGCTCCCGCAGCGCGCCCGAGGGGCGGTACCTCCCCCGCACGGGAGCGAGAAGGCCACGGCGGGGAGACTACCGCGCCTCCGCCGCCGCTCCCGCCGCCGCCGCCGGGCCCGGCGCGGGGATGCGAGCACGCAGGCCGCGCAGCTCTTCCGACTCCCTCCCCGAGGGAGGGAGCGAGGAGAAGGCGAGGAGGAGGGGGGAGGGAGGGAGGCTCCCTCCCCCCCTCCCTCCCTCCTTCGTCCCAGCTGACCGTCTCCTCGGCGAATCCGAGCGCAATCCCAAGAAGTGTCTCCCTCGTTCTTCGCCGCTCCCCTCCTCGGCCGCTCTCCCCCGCGGGCGCGCCCGCTGGGGCCCGGCGCGCCCGCCGGCGCCCAGGAGCTGCGTCGCAGCCGGGAGCTGCGCCGCAAGCGCCACCAGACCAGGCCGGGCGGGAGGCGTCGGGCCCTCCTGAAGGTAGACTTCGGTCGGGCATGTCGCCCTACTTTCTTTTTTTTTGGTCGGCGGCTCCAAGGCAACGGACAGGGATCGGAAGCGGCGTTTGGGTCACGGTACGGGGCTAATTGCAAGACAATTCGCCGCCAGCCGGAGTCGGCAGACAGACAGCTCGCACCTGCACATGCACTGAACAAAATGAACAGAATTCGCAAGGCAAACGCACAAACATGTCGCCCTACGGGCAGAGTTTGAAATGCGCAAAAGTATTCAAACAATCGTCACCATACTATTTTGTGACTATTTCTGAATATCCCCTCTGTAGAGGGGCAGGCCCGACTTAAAGGTAGACCTTCCGCGTCGCGAAACCCTTGGATCCTGGCGTTGCAATTCTTTCGCAAGGGGCGTTTGCGCCCTGCTTCGGGCCCCAGAGCCCTGACGGATCGATCCGGCTCGGAACAGGACGCAGCAGCATGGGGCCCAGGGGTCCACGCGTGACTCTTTGCGACGTTGCATTTGTTCTGCAACGCCGGATGCCAGGGATGGTTCAGCCCAGACCTCCCGCGTCGCGAAAGCGTGGCGATCGCGACCTGCTCCTGCTCTGGGCCCCTTGCGGCCCGCGCAGGGCACTGGGGGTCGCTTCGCGCGTGGCCGTGGCCGTGGCCGTGGCCGTGGCCGTGGCCGTGGCCGTGGCGGCGGGCCTCGCCGAGAGGACGGGGCTCGGGACGGAGCCCTAAGGGTCCATCGCGCCACAGGAGCCGGGACGACGGGCACTCTCGGGACAGCCCCAGACCCCCACAACGGGAGGAGAAAGAGGAGGAAGAGGAAGAGGGGAAGACCGACGAGGAGGAGGAGGAGGAGGAGGATGAGGAGGAGGAGGAAGGAGAAGTAGGAAGAAGGCGAGGAGGAGGAGGAAGATGAGGAGGAGGACGAGGAAGAGGTCGCTACTCTCGGCCTCCGGGGGCCCTCGCCGGGCCCCGGGACCGTCCGAAAACGACTCAGGATGCAAAGCCGGTCCTGGGGAAGGCGTCCAGACCTCTGGGGGTCGACGCTGCGAACAAAAATCGTGGCGTCGGGGGTGTGGGGGGGGACCGCCGCCTCCAGAAGAAGAGAAAACGCCATAAGCATAAAGTTTTGGCGCTCCGCGCGGATTTTTTGGATCTGCACTGGACCCCCATCCTTGGCGCGCGGAACCCGCTAGGGGAGGCGCTGGAGTCGCCGCCGTGGGGCCCCAGCGCGGTTTCAAGAAATCCGCGCGGAGCGCCAACAGTTTCTGTTTATGGCGTCTTTTCTTCTTCGAGTCTCCTTCCCGTGGCGGATCAGAGCGCGACGGGATTTTTTGTCCATTGTCGGACTCCCTGGGCCCTCGCTGGCGACCCAGGGACGGTTCAAAGGGCGGCCCGGGGCGACGAGCCGGTTCCAGGGAAGGGAGCTGCAGATCTCTCGGTGTCCGCCCTGGGAGAAAGACATCACGACGCCGGAGTTCAGGGGATGTGTGTGGGGGAGGGGACCGCGGGAACCTAATTAGCCCGCCACGTGTCCGTGGGAGAGGAGCTATGACGATGAGGACTTCGTCGAGGCGGACTTCCCGATAGCTGATTCTGTTGTATATTTTCATGATATCTTTACGAAAAGGGTCTGGGCCCAAAGTTCGCCATGAGTGCTGTATCGGCCCTGGATTTGCGTAACGCCAGCGGCTTATTCTTTGATGAATAATGAGGTCGCGCAGGGCCAGCAATTGCATTTGCTGAGGATGTCTCAAGCAAAACGCTTGTTTTGCAGAGTCTGTGGGTGTCTCCAGCGGAACGCTTGTTCTGCAGACTCCGTTGAGCATGTCTCGAGCGAAATGCGTGTCGAACGTAAAATGCTGGCGCGGATGGGGTGGACGATGATTCTGACAACGATGATGACGATGATGATGATGCTGATGATGATGATGCTGATGATGGTGATGCTGCTGATGAGGATGAGGCTGAGGCTGAGGCTGATGCTGATGCTGGTGCTGATGACTAGGACGATGACGATGACGATGACGATGACGATGATGATGATGATGATGATGATGATGATGATGATGATGATGATGATGATGATGATGATGATGATGAGGAGGAGGAGGAGGAGGAGGAGGAGAAAGGGGAGGGGGAGGGAGGGAGACGCAAATCATGGCCGGACGTATTGAAATAAGACGAGGCGCCATGAGATCTGGGAAGATCTCATGGCACCCGCCATGAGATCCCCCCCAGTCCTCACCCCCGTCGTGGCCGCCCCGAGGGAAGACTGCGAGGCACCTGCGGCGCGGCTGGGTGAACCTTCGCCATGGGGTCCGATAGTGAGAAGCCAGGACGAAGGTACAAAACGGGTGGGTATAAATCGATAATCTCTGAGAACTAGCGGTTCTGGAACATGTCTCAGGCGCCGCGGCCTTCTCAAAGCTTTCCGGAAATGCTCTAAGAGCGTTCCGGAACGCTCTGGAACGAACTTGTCCTCGTCCTATCCCCGTCCGATCCGAGTAGATGGGGTCGGAGGAACGCGCCGAATCGCCCATGCATCGACCATGCATGGGGGGCGCATCGGCGATGCATCGGCGAGGCAAGGGCGACGTCGGTGTGGAGAAAATCAGGCTCCATATCGAGCCGCACCGCCGACGCATCGGCGGCGCGGAGCGATCCTCCGACCATGGGTGAGCTTTCATGGGAGCCTCTGTGGACCTCTGCGGCCTTATCATAGATATGATTTCGACCAGATGTCGTTTAGATTTCGACCGCCACTCCCCACCCTTTCGTCAATATTTCGTCCAAGTGTCGCCCAAATCTTGCAACATCCGGACGCAATCCCCCCAGGGGCACAGAATTTCGGCACCCTCTGAGGCTCCCGTGAAGGACCACGCAGGCGCGGAGCGGCGGGACGGCGTGGCCGACTTCGCGCCCCGCTTGTCGCCGCCGCCCTCGGGCCGTTTTCCTTTTGGTTATCGTATTGTTTACCGGGAGGAGTCGGCCCCGATGACGCGATGTCAACGGAGGAGCAGGAGCAGGAGGAGGAGGAGGAGAAGGAGGAGGAGGAGGAGGAGGCGGAGGAGGGGGAGGAGGAGGAGGATTTTGGAGGAGGAGGAGGAGGAGGAGGAGGGGAGGAGGTTGAGGAGCAGGAGCAGGAGCAGGAGCAGGATCACGAGGAGGAGGAAGAGGAGAGGAGGAGGAGGAGGAGGAGGAAGGAGGAGGAGGGAAGAGGGGGAGGGGGCAATGAGGATGGAGAGGAGAGGAGGCGGAGGAGAGGAGGAGCAGAAGGAGGAGGAGGAGGATAGAGGGGAGGAGGATGAGGAGGAGGAGAGGAGGAGGAGGAGGGAGGAGGAGTGAGGTTGGGGTGCGGGAAGAAGGAGGAGGAGGAGGAGGAGGAGGAGGAGGAGGAGGAGGAGGAGGAAGAGGAGGAGGAGGAGGAAGAGGAGGAGGAGGAGGACGACGACAACGACGACGCGATGACGTTGGAGATGCGGCTGATAGGGAGCTGGCAAGCTGTCCTGCCTCGGGACCGATTTTCGCGCTCGTCCTCTCCACTCCACTCGCGGGGTCTCCACTCGGACGGTTCCGGTCCGTCCGGCTCCATTCCGTCGGTCTCGACCCGTTCAATTTTTGACTCACCCCGTGCCGATTCGTCTGGCCCGGAGTCTCGGTCCGTACGAGATAGAAAGTTCGAGGAGACGCAAGAGGAGCGGCACGAAAACGGTGTTAGCGAAGGTCCAACGTGACGAGAATGGACTATCAGACATGACGGGGAAACAACTTGCGGAACGAAAGACGGACGAAACGAACACGGACACAATGAAAGGCAGACAAAACGGAAACGGACGAACCGAACCTTGACGAAACGCCATCGGACGAAACGAAATCGGACAGAACGAAGGGCTGACAAAGCAGAAAACCACCGGGCGGTGGGCCGAAGGACAGAAGACGAGTGAGGGAGGATGGGCAGGAGGAAGGAGGAAGGAGGGAGGATGCAGGAGGTTAAGATAAGAAGAGGGCGGAAGGCGTCCATGCCACCTGCTGCTAAGATAGAAAACACCTTCCCGTCCTCGGCCCACCACCGCGCCGCCTCCTGCTCCCAAAACGGGAGCGTGGCGACGCTGGGAGGATGCAGGAGGGAGGCGGAGGAGGGAGGGAGAGAGGGAGGGAGGGAGGGAGGAGGGGAGATGAGGAGGGAGGGTGACGAAGAGGAAAGCAAAGGGAGGACCAGGATTCCGAGGACGAGGACGGGGTGGACCCCGTTGCGAGGTCGAAGGGGTTGGGGCAGCCCCGCTCAAGCATCGGCACGCCGCGCCACACCGACGGAACGGCACGCACATCGGTCCGCACTCCCTCCCTAGAGATCCTACGCTCCGAAAGAAGTTGGAGCAAGCAATTTTTGGCCTTTTTCGGCCTCTGGAGGCCCTCGCCGGGCCTCGGGAGCGTCCCAAAAACGACTCAGGACGAAAAACCGACCCTACGGAAGTGGCACGCGTCGAAAAAATTGGAGCAGCCAGACGCCTGGGTCCCCTGCTCCGAACGACGCACCCCTGGGGGCGGGGCCGCGCAGACGACTGGCGTTAGCCCCGATGGCTACTTGTTCGACCACGGCGATCGGTGTGCTCCAGCATCCTGGTTGTACTCGCAGGCGATGAAGTACCTGTTGTGATCCTGCGGTGGACGCTGCGGCGCCGGGGCGGAACGCGAGCGAGGTTCCGGAGCGCGCGCAACCGTCGCAGTACGAAATTATTCTGGGTGCTGCGCTGGCATTGCGTGGATAGCGAACGAACTTGCCTGGCGGGCAGAGGAACCCCCTGGTCGGCGGCAACAACAGGGGTGGATAGGCCATGGGGGCTGGGGTAACGATCGATAAGGAACGAAGGAACTTTACTTGCCGCGGCGAGCTTCGGCTTCGAATATGTTCTCCGACCTGGACCTAACAAGCTGCCCGAAAATGCAAGCCCTTTCCGAACTCAGATGGTCCTAAATTCAGAGTCTTGACTGTACATGCGCCGGGGGGCTCCGATCGTCCATGCTTTCGACGAGGCTTCCTGGCGAATGCGCGTAGTGCCGGCCCGCCCTTGGGCTGTCCACCCCGCTTGCCCGTGCCGATTTGGGCCACGACGGAAAGCCCAGCCAGCGCCGCCGGGGGTCGGAAGATCGGTCGCGTGCAAGAGAGACCGAGGGCGCGAGTGGCCTGTGGTGTGCGGCATCCCGATTGGTACATGCGATGCGAACCGCCTACGCGCTTGGGTTTGCCCCCCCGTCCCCGCCCCTCCTGAACGCCGCGCGCCAAGAGTCGTCGCTCTCTGGAGTAGCTGAGGAGAGCTCGCAGGAAAGTCTGGGCCGACTGGGGTCAGCAAACCCAGAATGTTAACGCACACTCAATGCAAACATGCCCTGCTTGGGCAAGGTAGGAGGAGGAGGAGGAGGAGGAGGAGGAGGAGGAGGAGGAGGAGGAGGAGGAGGAGGAGACGAGGAGGAGGAGGGGGAGGCAGGAGGTGGAGGAGGCGGAAGTGAGGAGGAAGGGGAGGAGGATGAGGAGGAGGCGGAGGAGGAGGAGGAGGGGGAGGAGGAGGAGGAGGAGGAGGAGGAGGAGGAGCGCTACCTGAATAGGGATGGGGAGAGGGGACGGTCCGCATGAATCCTGCACGTGCGCCGCGGCGGCAACGTAACGCCCGCCCGCGGGCAACGGGCGCGTCGCGGAGATGCCTGGCACCTCTCCTGCCTGTGATTCTGCAGTATTTGAAAACTTTGAAGGCCACATCAATAGCGATGGCATGGGCTGTAATCGTATTCGAAGCATCAACAACCCATCGATCAGGGAGCATCGCTTCCAGTGGATCAACACCCCAGTAGAAATGGAATTAAGAACTGGCGCAGTAGGGGGGAGAAGTAATGGCGCAGGGCGTCCCCGCCTACAGCACAGCATCCCCAGATACCAGTGCAGGCCCCTCGGCGGAATCGACGGGTCATGCATTAAACAAACATCTACCCAGTAAGGTCAGAGCAAAACTGAGGGAGGGCCTTTTTTTCACGAGTCCAAATCGGAGGGGGCAAAGATCAGCAGCACGGGAATTCACGCCACCAGTCCAATGCGCATATCTGTCACCGACGAGTTCATTACTAAGAGAACAAGGAACACGACGAAAGGAACATTGATTCACGCGATATTGGAGTAGCTTAGGAGGAACATCCACTGGGGCTTGGGGACTCGCAAACTTCTGTCACGTGAATAAGAACCGAATCAGGATGGAACGGGTTGTGGAGGCAGGTCAACGTCACTTCTTTATTGCGCCACAGTAGCGAAGTATTCTGTAAATGCATATCCAGGGCACCTGAGCGGCGAGCCGAACGGACAATAGCGGACCTGGCAAACCCATAAAGGGACCTAATTTGGAACGTCGAAGCGCAGATATTCAAACCATTGCAAGGCCAAGGGCTGGGCTGCAAGCCTGAGCGCACGAGTAATGAGTTGGTGAGCCTCTTTCTCTACCTTCTGAGATTCATTCGGCGGCTGAAGAACCTCGGCCACATGGCCGATCACTGGCAACGCATACCTTTTCCAGGCCACCACGGAATGGGCAACAGGGAACCCCTGACACCTTGCCATGCGTGCACGTTCCCGAAGTTTCGCCAGAGGAGGGCCACAGGATGTATCGGGAGCGGCCAAGAGGGGGGTGTCCAAGAGGGGGGGGTGCAAATCATGACCGGCGGCATGTGCGCGGCCCAGCGGGGGGGCCAGGGACGTAATGAAGCAAGAAGAGGCGCCATGAAATCTGGGGAAATATCATGGCCCCCGCCATGATATCCACCCCCCCCCTAGTCATCACCCCCCTCTTTTCCGCCCCCGAATGTGTCTGCGGTGCCCAATCCTATGTAGACCCCGAGGTACCTTGCCGCTCTGCGAAGCTGCGACGGCGGACGCATCCAGGCCGACGGCGAGGAAGGCGGCCCGTGCGGCCGTCTCGTCAGGGGCGCGCGGGATGACGATGGCGCGCTTGGCCAAATTTACTCCAGATTTCGTAATAAAAGGGAGGGGGTCTGGACCCTCCAAGACAAGCCATTTCAGACCCCCCCCCGTGGGAGAACCCTCCAGAACATCGTCCCCAGACCCCCCCAGGCCCTCCAAGATAGCCTGGAAGAGACCCCCCCCGAAATGAGACCCCCTCCACTTCATTACGAAATCTGGAGTAAGCTCAGCCTCGTGGAATATTTCGCTTGCTGTTGCTGCCTGACAGAAGACCGGGGCATCGCGCAGATGCCACGTGCCGCCAAACCCAGATCGCCCGCAACAGCGCGCAGCACAAGTTCGTTATGTAACTCTTCTGGAGCATCAAACCTTTTAGAATGGGGTTGAGAACCAGGATGGCCAGGACTCCTGAGAGCGGGCGTCCTTGCTTCATGCCTCCGCGGGCCCAGAAACCAGCGGGGACGTCCAGACTTATGATGCAGCGCCAGAATAGCTGCCGCACCACATTCAGGGACTCTCATTCTCCTCAGGACAGCGAAGATCCAGGAGCGATGGATGCTGGGGAAAACGTGTCAAAAACAACAGACAACCACTGGTCGATTTTTCACCGATAGTGCGGGCCCATCCACAGAGAGCCGAACCCATTTCCAGAATGTCGTCGACCATCGACCGCCCACGAGCGAAACCACGTCGGCGGTCCCCCACATGTTCAGAGGCGACGCCGTTCAGGGATTTGGCGAGGAGGGCGGAGAAGATCTTATCGTCGGAGTTGAAGAAGAGCATTCTAATCTTCGCCGCCCCGCGCGCTTTTGCCCGCCGGCAGCGAGGTCGCCATTCGGCGGATTCGAATGTCACGCATGTTAAACATTTGACGCCCTGCTTTGGCCAATATTCCGCTTGCAGGCGGCTCGCATTTTGGGCGAGCGCAACTGTTTGGAACACGTTTCAGTACATACATACGTGCATGCACGCATGCATACATGCATGTACACAATATATAAATATATGCGTACATGCGTGCGTCCATCCGTCCATCCATACAGACAGACAGACCGACATACATACATACAGCTATCCATCCATACATCCATACATACATACATACATACACACATACACACATACATACATACATACATACATACATACATACATACATACATACATACATACATACATACATACACACACATACATACATACATACATACATACATACATACATACATACATACATACGTACATACATACACACACACATACATACATACATACATACATACATACATACATACATACATACATACACACATACATACATACATACATACATACCTTCATACACATATGCGTTGATTAATTTATATACGTGCTTATATACGTACGTAGTTACTTAGTTTTGGCTTGCTTTGGTATTTGATTATTGGCACGAGCCAGACGTGTCCTGAGTGGAATCGATCCTGGACCCCAGGGCCTTCCTCTAGAACCAACTTTCCTCCAACGTTGTTGTCTGACAGTCCTGGGGCCCGTGGAAGGCCCCGGGAGCCCGAAACCGGGGAAAACCTTCAGGACCTGTTTCCCTCAGGACCCGTTTCCTTCATGGCAGAGAGAGAGAGAGAGAGTCGCGCTCCGTGTCCATCTTTATCTCCAGCGGGCGATTGACGTAGGGGGGCAAGGACCTCGCCAGGTGGGGCACCAGCCGCGTGAAGTCCGCGAGGTTGGCCTCGAGGTCCTTGCGCCGAGCCCGGACCCCCTCGATCGAGGCGAGGGGAGAGGGAGGGAGGGAGGGAGGGAGGGAGGGAGGAGGATGAGGAGGCAGAGCGCAGACGACAGAGTGCTTCCTCACCGAACCTCCTTTCTCCTCGGCCTCCGAAGCGGCGGCGGCAGCAACCGAGCCTCGACGTGCTTGAGCATCGAGGAGGGCTCGCTGCTGACCTCACGTTGGGAGTCGGAGCGTCATCCCCATCCTCCGTTGCAGGGCGGAGGCACGAGGGGGAGTGATCGGTCAGAGGAGGAGGAGGAGGAGGAGAAGGAGGAGGATGAGAAGGAGGAGGAGAAGGAGGGAAAGGAGGGAAATGAGGAGGAGGGGGAGGAGAGGGTGAGGAGGAGAGGAGAAGGGGAGGAAAGTGAGGAGGAGAAAGAGTAGGATGAGGAGGAGGGACAGAAGTGAGGAACATAGAAGGAGGAGGCGGAGGAGAGGGATGAGGAGGAGGAGGAGGAACAGGGAGGAGGAATACAGAAGTGAGGAGGATGAGGAGGAGGAAGAGGAGGAGGAGGAGGAGGAGAGGATGCTGCTGCTTGATGATGATGATGATGAGGAGAGAGGAGGAGGAGGGGGAGGAGGAGGACAGAAGTGGGAAGGAGGAGGAGGAGGAAACAGAAGTGAGGGAGAGGAGAAGGAGGAGGAGGAGGGAAATGAGGAGGAGGAAGAGGAGGAGGAGAGGGAGGAGGAGGAGGAGGAGCAGGAGGAGGAGTAGTAGTAGTAGGAGTAGGGGGAGGAGGTGAGGAGGATGAGGAAGAGGAAGAGGAGGAAGATGAGGACGAGGAGGAGGAGGAGGATGAGAAGGAGGAGGACGACAGAAGTTAGGAGGAGGAAGAAGACAGAAGTGAGGAGGAAGAGGAGGAGGAGGAGGAGGAGGAGGAGGAAGACAGCGTGAG